AGAGAAGGGTTTTACACAGTGAATGCTGGGGGTTTAACAGCCTAAATCCACAGCACCCTGGTTTGCTCTACGAGAGACACTGGATTTCCAGTACTTCCCAAGCACAGTTGAGGGGGAACCCTGTGTCCTACAGATTACCCATCGTGTCTATATTGTAATAGAACTACATGTGTCCCAACAGTGTTTGAAAATACTTCAGTCTTCTACTCTCTGTCCCACAGCTTTTTGCCACTTTTAAAGGTAACACAACCCCATCTTCAGCACTGTGATACTTCAAATGTCAGTGTAATGAATTCCCCAAACTAAAAGCAGTTACTGACTTATGCATCTTAAGTGATTAACACCCCCAGCCCATGCCTTCCCCTCCAGTGCTGCAACCTGAGAGGGGAAGCAAAAGGGATGCTAAAGGGATGTAATGATTTGTGTATTGTATTGCAGCGGTTAACCCTTTGAGAACCAAGCTGAACAACAACATGCACTTGTGGTAAGTACCTTTAATAGCACAGCTTTGAAACCGAAATGGGATTTGGCATTCCTAGTGTTGACTTCACTCTCTCTCAATCCTACCTGCAGGGATCCAGAGATCAGTTTATTACAAAACTTGAAAGACCTCTTAGAAATCGACTTCCCCTCTCGTGCTGTGTTAGAAAAAAGTGTAAGTTGCTTTTTGGTGATGATCAGTTGCTATTCCTGAATAAGTAACATTTAAATGGTCACTTCACAACAGCCAGCAAAAAGAAGAGACTTAAAGGAGAGGTAATTGCATTAAGATATTGTCATAAGGAGTTCTGAACTTCAAGCAACAATTGTCAGAGCTTGTTAACCTGTGATTAGAAGTGCTCACTTCCCTGTGGCCTTCCTAGCAGTGAGGCCATTAATAACAGGCTTCGCTATTAAAAGGGAAAGAGGAAGTTCCAGAGTAGCTAATGAGATGTGGAAAATCCAAACATTCTGTTATGGATGCTGACGACATAAGTCCCAATGAGGTGGAGCTGCTCAGGGGGGATGAGCGGCCATCCAAACAGTGGTGCATTTCAAACAAGCTTGGAACTAATTTCTGACAGTGCTGCAACACTGGATATCCAGCTTCACTTCCACTTGTGGAATTCTGACATTAACATCTGACTGAGGGCTTGTGCCTCATCGCCCACATGTAGTGACAGATCGTTGTGTTTGAGGAAAAAGAGAGTATGAAAATGCATGTCAAACTAGATGTAATTCAGTGAGGGGATAAAGTCCAGCCTACCTTCAGAGGCACAAGATTTCACTCATCTCAGTTTATGCCATAAGGGTATAAACATACCTATTGCAAGCAAAAATAGTAATCCTAAGTAATAAAGCAGAGAGCAATAGATGAATGTGTTGGCTGTGTTACCAGCTGTTTCCTCCTTTGGATGGGCCTGTAAGCTAACTCTGCTGTGTTGTAAGGATTTTGCCAAGGACTGTGGAATCTGCTATGCCTATCGCCTCAACGGCACGACTCCAGATCAAGTGTGTGATGACCCCCGCTGCGGACAACCTTTCCACCAGGCTTGTCTGTATGAGGTACAGTAACAGGACAGACCTTGTTCATTAACTGCCAGATGAAAACAGGCAATGCCCACTTAGATTTCAGAAGCAGCAAAATCCTTGAAGGAGTGTTACAACCACCACAGCTTCTTAGAATCATACAATCCCAGACAGGTCTGGGTTGGAAGGGAGTTTAAAGCTCAGCCAGTTCCAAGCCCCTGTCACAGGCAGGGGCACCTTCCACTAGAGCAGGTTGCTCCAAGCCCCTGTGTCCAACCTGGCCTTGAACACTGCCAGGGATGGGGCAGCCACAGCTTCTCTGGGCACCCTGTGCCAGCGCCTCAGCACCCTCACAGGGAAGAGCTTCTGCCTCAGAGCCCATCTCAATCTCCCCTCTGGCAGGTTCAAGCCATTCCCCTTGGCCTGTCCCTACAGGTCCTTGTAAAAAGTCCTCTCTCTCATATTGTAACCCACGCTTCAGGCATAAGCTCACTATGGAGGGGAGCTTGCCTCATTTTGTGCTTGCCCAGACTCTGCCTTGACACACACCATGTCAGATGGTGATCAGATGAACTCTGTTTAGGTAACAGACAGTTCTGAAATTTGCTATCAAACATGAATTTGAATGCACTTACTTGTGTTGCAGTGGCTACAAGGTCTTCCTTCGAGCAGACAGAGCTTTAATGTCATCTTTGGTGAATGTCCATATTGTAATAAGGTAAGGGAAGTCAATGAAATGAGTGACCCAACTAAACCATGTGTGGTAGCTTAGATACAGGCAATGCCAGTAACGAAGTCTCTTCTAAAATGGAGTTTGTGGCTGCTATCTTCCCTTTACACTGAGGAATAAAGAGAGGAAAACTTTAAATTCCCATGCATTTATTGCATCGGGATTCATCTAAAGGTTTGCTGACATGGTACAAGTTACCAACACACTGGTGTCAGAGTAATTCAGTATCACAGCCCCTTGTATTTCATGATACATTTTTAATGTTGCTGTAGCAAAGGTCCAGTTTCAAAAACAAAAGAAAGTAAAAAGGAATCCCAACATTCGTTACACAAAGAGCCTTGTACAAATAGTTTAGTGCATGTGTAACTATTGAGTGCAGACCTGTATTGACAGGGTTATTTAAAAATCTTTTTCAAGCCACTGACACTGAAATCTTCAATGAAGAAACTCTGAGAAGAAACTCTGTGATGGGAGCACCACCACACGTGCACTGAAGCCCCCGAGATGGTGCCATCAAAGAAAATACAAAGAAAGTCCTATCAGTAGCAGGAGTACAAGTATTGCTGTAGTGTAACGGTATGTTCTGTCAGTAAACGCAAGCCTGAACAGAGTAGAAAGAGAAGGACAAGTGAAGTCAGAACCAGGTTCTTGCCATGACACTGGGTGATCCACAGTTAAGAGTTGATCGTGTTCCTTTCTGGATTCTGAGAATAGTGCTTGGGGGCTGAAGGGGGGCAATTCTCTTGCAGTGTCTTTCTGCAGGGAAAAAATAGTAATAATAAATTCAATATTGAGATGTGAACCAGAAAAACAAGGATGCCAAAGAGGACATCCAGTTATCCTAGAGAAAGCAATACCCTTCTTACGGTCTCAGCTCTGGCATTTCCAAGTAGAAGTATATTAAGTGTATAACATTAGGTATGATTAAACAGCTTCTACAGAGCCATACTCTATATTTGTTACTGAAATTAACAGCTGAAATGCTTCTCTATCTTTAAGTCTTTACAACTAATAAAGCTTTAGCCTGGAAAGCCTCAGCATTACTCTGAAGCTTGGTTTGCTGGTTTAGTTTGTATAAGTTTTGCATTTCATAATGAAGCCAAACTTCTGATTGATGCAGACAGCATGACTGCAATATTTATGTGGGCTTGGTTCTAGATGGCTGGGGGGTGGCTGGGGGCTTTTAGGTCTCCAGAAGCAATGTCATCCTTAGCTTACCTGTTGTTAGATCTCCAGCCCAGAAAGGAATCCATCAGAAAGGAATCTGTCTCTCACACATCCAAGACTTAACTATCTTTTCCATTGTCCCTCAGCAAAACTTTCAGCTTTGGTTTCCTTTCCCACTCACAATAGGTTATGTTTTAGCCATACATCCCTTAATTTCAACCTCAGCAATAGGATTTTCTTAAACCTAAATTGTATTTTTTCTCATAAAAAAATTTCCTGTCTTCCTGTTTTATTCCTCTTTGAAATTACTGACAGACATGTCTGTTTCTTTTCTTTTAATTAAATATGGGCCCCATCTGATTGATAGGCACTATTACATCCACCATAAAGGCAGCTCACAGGTTTTTTCTCTGCTTTTTGTTGTTTCCATATTGTTTTAATTATATAATAGATGTTTATTATAATGATGCTATATATCATTATAATAGATGTTACTTGTCTTCCTCATTCTGTCTTCCCAGTTCATCTCTCACAAATGTCCTACCCTTCTTGTCCTCCTGCTTTCTATCATCAGGTGTGTTCCCTTTTCAGCATAGAAATGGTTCTTGTTTTAATTTACACCTAGACTGTGACTGCTTTCCAGCAGCTCCTCGTTCTTTCCTTGTCCCAGCTGTGGTGTTTGTCTGCCTGTTCTTTCCCCAAAGATAAAGCAGGGAGGAAGAGAACTTCCCCTCCACGTTCTCCATCACACCTTAGGTGTCCCAGGGCCACCATCCCATGGTGCCCAAGTCAGAGCATGGTGCCTGCAGTTACCTGCTCCAGACGGCTGCCTGGCCAGTGCGTGCCATTGCTCTCTGCAGAACACTTGTCAGCCTCTGCCCCCTCCAGCTCCTGCATGAACCAGTGGGTTTTCCCTTGCTTTGTGCCTGAAGACTCCTGAATTTTCCAAACCTCAGTTCCCTGCAATGTCCTATTCAGCTCTGCTTTACCAATTTCCTCAATTATGAAAGGAAGCGAGAGGAGGCTGCAAAATGAAACTAATGCAATCCTGCCTTTTTTCCTTCCCCGGTTTCTCGTTTGAAGATCTTAAATGTTATCTGACATCCATTTTAACTCTCCCCTCTTATGCATAATATTCAGTGAGTACCTCAGAAGGACTCTACACAGATGCAGCTTTATTAATCAGATTGGAATAGCAGCTTTTCCTTTATAAAGCGTAAATAAAATCACAAATATAAGCTAAATACCAACCCCAAAGCCCCAAGTTACTCGCTGGTGTCACGGTCTACAACCCGTACTGTGTGCTTCCTGTTGCACTAAAGGGGAAGTTACACCAGGGTTTTTTTTAACTTTTATCATGTTGGAAATCTAAATGTCACTCTCTTTCCATATCTGCTTCTTTCTTAGGACTATAGTAGTAGCTTTTATACAAAATATACAAGAGACTTGCTCCTTTTTTTTTGCCAGTATCTGTTAAATTTACACTTGAGGACTGGGAAGTAGCACTGGAATGTCTATTGCAAAGCTGTATTTGTTACGTTGAGCCACTGCTGTGGCAGGTCTCTGGCTGCCCTGCTGTCAGCCACATCTCCAGACCCCGCTCTGCTCACCACTTGACTGCCTGACGCGCTCGGGTACAGCTGTGCTTTTCCTGCTTCCCTCTCCCAGCTTGTACTGGAGTCTCCAGGCAGTGACCAGCAGACTGCTTGAAGCAAAGAATTGTGCATTAATAATAAAGCTATCTTCAAAGTTGCATTTTTGTGCTTAGCAGAAATTGGCTGCATTTAACAAGCTGTTTTTCTATCTGAAAGAACCCCAGAGTAGAATCCCTTTGTTACAACATACATGAACTGCACAGAAACAGCACAGGGTGATTACCAACATGTGCTTCATTCTGCACTAGTTCTACTAAACCTTGATTAACTTTTCTCATCAACTTTTTCATGTACAGCTGCAGAGTAAGACTGAACACACTCATTCAACCCTTTTATGTGGTAAATTACCAATGACAGCTGAGGTTAGTTAACTGCTAAAATCCTCAGAATAAGAAGTGAGAACTTAAGAACATAGTCAAAGAGTGCTATGCAGCTTTCCACTAGGAAGGAAAGGAGATACTGCAGGAAGTTTCTACCAAGAAAACAAAAGGAGACTCTCACTTCCCAACACTTCTATCTGCACACTACTCACAATGCAGCACTTTGCTACCAAACTATAGAGAAACTGAAGTGTTAGTTTCCTACTAGCAGGACCAAGCAACCGTACCCAAACTTTTAGTCTTTGTGGCAAACAGCTCGTTTGCACACACCGAGTTTGTGGTGTTGTGAGGTTAGTTTTGTTTGAAACTCCTCATTTCCAGGGTGCTGTGTCTGTTGCCAGGGAACACCAAACCCTCACCTCCTGTGCCTGGTTGGGCTCCCGACTCGTGCGCGGCCTCTCCTCAGGCTGGACGTGCCGGCGGGTCACCCGAGCATGGGGCCTGCTCAGCCCGTTGGGTTCTTCCTCTTTCACCTTGTTCTGCTTCTGTAGCGCCGGTTCCAGGGAAGGCTTCCGTGAGAGACCCTGCTGAGGCACACACAGGAATTCTGTATGCTGGATTCAGGAACGTTCAGAACCACCACAGGTTCCATCCTGCTACTCGGACCTGTCAGGTGTGAGCAGTGCCCTGATCACACTCACTCCTGAGTTTTATGTTTGGAATAAAAGGAGCCAGGAAGCACTTGCCACCTTCTGGAGCCTGGGACAGAGCACCTGGCTCTTTTCAAGCACTCCTCTTCCTTGCCCACCCCAAAAGGTGGCCAACTGAGCAGACAAGCTCCAGGAGATGCCACACATCACTGCAGTGCCCAAATCCTCACCTGCTGAGGCTCTGTTTGGTGAAGCATCCTGTTTAATTTACTTGGCTTGTTTTCATTGTGGGGGTGTCTGTCTTTTGCCCCAGCACAGGCTTTGTTTTGGCAGATGTATTCTTCAAATGCCTCACCTTCCATCCTCTTTTGCTTCTGCTGAACTGGTTTTGGTTTAGGCCTTGGCAAGCGAACCTGCTAATGGACAGTGGACAGGTTTGTATGTTAAAAAAGCCAGTGTTTCAAAAGGAAAAGTGTTTCAGCTTTAGTACTGAGAACACAGAAGGAGACAAAGTTTCATCTTGCTCAAAAGAATTGTTTCCAGCGTTTTCATTATAAATAAATCCCTTCTTTGCACAGCACAAAGCTGGAGCTGTGCTCCATTTGGGAAGGACACTGTGAAATAAATGAACTTCAGGTATGGGTTTCAAACCAATCACTAACAACCTTCATTAAGGATGATGCCAGGATGTCACTGGTTCATTAGCCAGGAGAAGTGGGGGCATTTCATGTCACTGGACTGAGTGGCCAAAGCCCCAAAAGCAAAATAACCAACCACTCAGTGTTCTGACTCGGGTAATCTAATTACAAAGTTAAGGGTCATATTCCTAAAGATGTAAGTAAGTGGGGAACACAGAGTGAACAGTTGCTCGAGTTAACACAAGTTTTTTCCAGTGCTGCTCTAAGCAGTAAGTATCAAATGATGCTGGTTTTGGCTTTTGTGCCTTGGAAGACAAACGTAGCCAAAACACAGGCTGTATGCCACATGCCTTTGGTACTTCTGGCACACCAACACCCCTCTAACTGTAACCTTCGTATATGGGCTTCTGCAGCAGCTGGATCCAAATACAGCACTTGAAATAATGAGCTGCTTTTCTGTACTGCAAATTAAATACATGCAGGAGATAGACAGATAGAACCTGCACAAACTGACCACCACTGGAAGTGCCAGTGGGCACCTCGTGTATTGGTTAATCCAAAACACCTTTATAAGAGCACAAACCATAGTTCTGCTCTGTGAAAATCACTCATGTTCAGTAACACGAAGGTGTATGTGTCCTGAACAACAACTCAAGCTAGTTTTTGGGCTGTCTACCTCAAGACATAACACTGCAGCTGGCCCTCAGAAACGGAGGTGCCCAGGTGAGCCTCAGTGCCACACTGACCCTTACCTGACCACAACAGCCCGAGCCGTTCATGTCACTGCACCGAGCCAGAACAGCTCATCTTGCTGACAGCCCTGGTGTCTTCACAATGTACATACATGCCCCAAGTGACAGCATCACTTTCAAAGCAGGACTCACAGCACTAGTGAAAATACATACATATTTTATCCCTCAAAACTGCCATATTCCATACTAGATAAAGGACAGGCCATTATTTTTTACTATCAAATCTACAAACTGCAGCAAGCACTCAGCTGGCCTCACCACACCTGAGCTGCTGGCCCTGATCCCAACACTGCCACTGTAGGTGAAAACACTGAAAATATTCACCCAGTGCCAAAAACTGTGGAAAACAAGTTTGATAATTAATGCAATTAATATTTTATCACCTATGTTTGGTGTGTGATTGGAACAAAGAGCCAGGATGTAGGCGCTGTTACCCTTTTTATGTCACCTCAAGATTAGATTCATGTGCTATATACAGGGAGCTGCCTCTTAAAACTCATGTTCTGTACCAATTCCTATTCACATCTTCTTCAAGGAGCTTGTACTACAAGATCCCCTCACTGGTACTTACGGGTGTTTACTGGTGTTCAGGAGGGAATTAACCCCAAATCACCTCTTCCCTGTGAACCACACTGGTACAGGTGGATCCGCCAGGTCATCTGGAGGCAGATTCTGCTCGTAAGCAAGAAGTGAGGAGACAGGGGATTGTTTGTAGTGGCTCCCACTATTCTTAGGTTGCCTCTTTAATGGGAGAAGTGTTTGGTGAATAAAAGGAGAGGTGGAAAGGGAACACAGAGATGAAAAGAGGCAGACCTGGATAACTACAGACAGTGCTGAGAAGAGATGCAGTGGGAAGTGCCTGCCTGTCATCGAACACTGTCAGGACTGTAGCACCAGAGAGCACCAGGCCTTGGGTATCCTCCACAGCCTGAAAAACAGGATTTGCTGCAAACAGCAGTAAATTTAGACAACGTTCAGTTCTCTGCTCTCCCTACTTGTATTTAAGTACTCCCGAAGTCCTTGGAATAACCCTAGAAATCTCCTCTGCAGCTGTTTTGCAGTGGATGGTACAGGAAACGCGTGCACGTAAGCGGCAGAACTGGCTGCCGAAACACACTCAAGTGAAAAATAGGTGATGGCTGGAGCATTGCTACTGTTCTGAGGAGCAAGACACTCAGCATTAAACATTCCTCTGAAGCAGTGATGACAGGTGCCAGGATTTAGTAATATGCAGACACACTCTGCCTCTGATCTTGTTCTTGGCCATCAAAACCAATTCCGCTCAGTCCTACAGCGCAAGAGCGCTGATCACCGGCACTCCTCATTCATGGGTTTTGCAGTGGGGTTGTGCACTTGCAAATAGCAAGAGCTACAGCAGCTTTTGTAGCTTGGAAGGTCAGGATCATCTTTTATGCCAGCACAGTCACGTCTTAGGGCAGGCAATAAGAAGAAAATAGATTGACTATTCAGTATCTGACTAAGAAATGAAAGCCTCCTGTGAAGCGGAGATTCGGGAGGATCAGCTGGAGATGGGTTCACTGCTGGCTGATACTTCAGTTCTGTTCAGAAAACAGTGCAAACTTCAGTAAAAGCTGCTCAAATCAGTGAGGACAAAGTGGTCACCATCATAGCAAGAGAAATACTGTCCCTGAAACAGGTTCTGGGCTTGTTAAAAGTACACCTAAAAGTGATAAACCCAGAAAAGTCAATAAAATTGCTAAAATAAGTATGTGTAATTACCAAGATCAAAACCCAGTGGCTTTTTATTAAACATGAACTTTTGTTCTGCCTCCCATAATACGTAAATAGTGCTGACAATTGGTTTGTGAGGCACTTGCTACAATAAAATGTAATTGTATCATGAGAGAAAGGTGACAATCAGGAGATCATGAAAAAATTACATATTCTCACTGGTGGTTAATTAGCCATGCAAAACCCCCTCAAACAGATATTCTCTTCTATTAGGAATGATTACTATGCAGGCCTACAGATGTCAATACCACAGTCATTCAAATACTTCTTTCCCT